AAACACCATTATATATTTACGTATTGAGTATATTTTCATCGTTCAGCAGGGTTCTTGTCGTACTTTCTCTATCTATCTAGATATGTTCGAATAGTTATTAGCGGAGATCTGAAATCGAAATTACACGTGTGTGTGTATAAAATCACACTTGTATTGTCAGTACATTACTTTTATAGTAACTTGACATTTCACTTTAAATGTCACCGAGAAATAAACTACAGAGTCGGTCAGTCGGTTCATCGATCCATGGCACGTATGCTTGTCCAATTACCGTCAAACCACGAGTACGTGCACGCACACCTCCACGCATATTACGCAAACGTTAATACAACGTCACTACGTTGATCTTTTTTGATTGGATTCTGCCAACATTCTTTATGTTTTCTGCAAACTCGGAACTCGTGGAATGTTCCCATTAAAAGAACTCGCTCACATTTACGTAATTCTGTCTTTGCCGTATAATTGGAACACTTAGTCGGCACCAAAAGTGACTTACTTAACCAAACATCCTGTGTACTGTAGTCAACTCAAGAGGCGCCGCTGCCATTTCTCCTGTCACGGGTAATTTCTTTAAATAAAAAAAAACACACTTTCAATTATAACACAGCGTATAAACCGTGCAAGGAGTGTGACTGTTCTCCAGTCACGCATGCGCACATGTTGCTGTGAGTTTTTGTACATGGCTACGAACATATCACGCCTTACACTTATTTATACAGCGATAGAACCTAAATACGACAACACTGTTACAAAGTTGATCTCGATGCTTGATGTAGAACAGCAATCTTTTTTAATTACGACACAGGTGAAGCAGAATGTACTCGCTATTTTTGAAAAACCTCACCGACGCCTTTTGCTCGGACACCCTGGGTCTATGATTCATTATTGTCTCTGTACTGGTTGTCGTTTTTCCTTTGTGAATGTTACTATTAGATCACATGACAGATACAAAAAAACGACATTGGAGCACTGACATGCACAATGTCTCGACTCACTGGTTTATTTCTTCGTGTTTTTATTTCCAAAATTCTCCGAGATATTTATAGTAGAGCAACGTCTTACGCTGACCATACATTCTCCCAAGATGCATTGCGTGTGAGTATTTTTTGAATGTAAATATAATCAGACACGTGGCCTTTGACTTGTTAGTGAATCTTCATTTATTTATATTAGTATATGTTACATGTATTCATATCTTTACTAACGATTCATGGTTTTACCAGCGAGAGATCGTGATGCCATGTCTTTCGAAAAGAGTAGGCACATCATTCTCAGCGGGGACATCTATCCTGCTCATATAAACATGAATCTTAAACCAGACAAGTGACATTGATGACCTCCGACGTCTTTTTTAATAACTTACGTAACGTCCAAGCCCATATCTGTGACAAAAACAACCTGGTTGATGCCGGAGAGAGCAGATGACGTCTCTCTAGAACACGACGTGTACTACCCTCACTGGTTCAGCGATTAAGCTGGGAACATATGTCAGATGTAAATAGGAAGCATCCACATACGGTTATGTGGTATATTATTTTTTATAATCATTGAAGAACACCATCGAAATGTGAATATGAAAGTGAAGGATTTGTCTCTATTTTTTATCTGACGACGAGGATTTGTACATGTATATCGAGTTGAACGAATTGAGTTGAACATAAAAATATTCATAGTGTTTTTATATAGACCGGCGACGCCGTAAATTGTTTCCCTTTTTTTGTAGAAATGTTCGGAACACTCGTCAAATGAATCAACAATCACGGTAGAAAAAGGCTCAATTTAGCGTGCTTGTTTCCGCCAGTCTGTCAAATGTCATTTCCTGTACCAGCTTTTCAACGTTGATTTGCTTGATTGAAGTGTAGTCCTTAAAAGTAGACGACATTTGCGAAACACTTAAAGTTGGCATCTATCCGCTACCATTGAGCTGTCAAATTGAATCGGCACCGAGGCCAAATTTATCTGGTAAATGAGAGCGTAAATATTAAAGAAATTTTCAACATTGATCAGTGAGCATTGATTGGTCAGTGTGTATTAATACAGTATTCAGCCTAATAGATGCGGTATCCTGGTAACAGTCACCATGGCAAATAGTATGTGTATTCGGAGGTAGATTAAGTGTTGTTTCGGAGCGCGTCACAGGGAGTCACAGAAAGCAGAAGTAACAATCAGTCAAAGTAAACGAGTGTTACTTTATCGTGTCTGTCGTGTTTATTCGGTCACCATATGACGCAATGTTCACGTGACATTAGGAAGACGGCCGGCTAGTACGGATAATTGTATCAAATCGGAATGCTTTACGGTTATTAGTTTAATATATGCCGTTAACTGAAGTTATGAAGAAAACAGATTTAAAGACTGTATTTGTAATTACCTTCAGTGACTGATGTAGAAAGAAAACTGAAATAAATGTAACATCATAGATATTATGTTTAGAAATGTCACATTTGTGTTGTCTCTCGAAAAACACACACAAACAAATGCTATACAAACCGTGAGAGAATCGTGCACGGCTTCACTGATCTCACTGCAATAGCGTTAACTCAGAATCCATTGATAGTACCGCCAACTTTACTTTCCGAGTCTCGTCACAGACACGCTGATAACACTTCAAGCTATGCTTCCAATTTCAGTGGAAACGAAACGTGACTTTTAAATATCAAAGCTGTTTGTGAGAGTTTTTCGCTACACTGGATGCTGACTGAAATAACACACAGACAAATAACTAATATATAACACAAACATTCAGAACCTGTGCACGAAACATCTTTATATAACTTGACTATATAATAGGAAACAATATGCAGTTATTAAAGCCGTGGTTCGGTGTAATATGGTTCAGTAAACTGAATTATCATTAAAGCTATTGATACGGATAAACCATATTTATTTTATTTTGTTGTTCTTGTATAGAGGCTACCGGGCATAAATAAATATATATGTTTCACTTTTCAATTTAGCAAATGATAAACTATTTTTACATATCGCGCCCTCTAGCCATATAACGCTTCTATGACGTCATTGGGTGGCAGGAGCGGCGTCGATATTATTTCGTTCTGGAGTCTGCCCGTCAAAGAAAAATATTTTTTTTTATAGATTTATTTAATTGTAAATGACGGACGACTGCACAAGAAAGAGACAGTATCAATATAAATGTTTGACGTAACACAAGCGAAAACGCTCACCGTCTTGTAGTCTTAAATGTCACAAGGCTCCGCCATCTCTGATTAGACTTTATTTATTTCTTTATTTCTTTATTTCTTTATTTCTTTATTTATTTATTTATTTATTTATTTATTTATTTATTTATTTATTTATTTATTTATTTATTTATTTATTTATTTATTTATTTATTTAATCTGTAAAACACACTGCGTGATCTATCGGCTACATTCGCACAATCTGGTCCAATGTAATCTGGTCAGTGATGTAAGTAAGTGAACACTTTAGAAACTTCATGACGTAACTAAAATAAGTCATCATGTAGAGTATGATTTAACGCCATACAAGTATCATAGTAATTGAAACCCCAACAATAAACCCATGTTGACCACATTTCCTGGCAAAGTTTGATGTGATTGTAATTACTTGGTTGTTGGAATTATGAAGCATTGCATTTCTGTGTTTGCAAAATTGCGAATTTCCTAATCTATACAGTTATTTATATCCTGTAGTCACATGAACTGATTTCCACCAAATAAAATGTACATGGTTGTTTCCCCTCACCGTGAAATGACTAATTTTACCAAAATAACAAATTTTATAACAAAGTTTTGGTCTCTTCCTCTATATCCTGCCCTAATATAAATGTTTACATTAATTTTGAACACCCTGGGTATGTGACAAATGTGTGGTGCTCTGTGTGACGACCGTGATGCTTTGCGCGACGGCGATTTTATGTGGAAATAATCCACGCCACTAAACATTCTAATAAAATCACATATGGGACTTGTATGTGTCGAGTTAGGAATTCTTGAGATACAACTCAGTTATCAGTGTTACCCGTCAGTGCATAGTGAGAAAGTATAAGAATTACAAACGTGCTCCATCAGTCAGTGTCATGACTTCAGTGGCAATAATTACTATGCAGTGGAAATGTCAGATGTCACGAGCTGTTGCGATAAAAAGGAGCAATATGGATGTCTGAAACCCAGAATTCCCTTTACAATTTACAATTTATTGTTCTCCTCGTATTTGCGTGACAATTTGTTGATTAATTAAATGCGTTTCGAGGATGAGGTATAATTATTCCGATTTCGGGGCCAATAGCAGCGAAACATTTCATTTCACATTGATGTTTTTTTTTTCATATATAAACGTGGCACAATCACAATTATTGATGACGTCACAATATAACTCAAACACACTTTAGGCTCCATATATTGCTTAGCCGGGGCGCTTAGCTAACGCCTTTCTTATCCATGTCGATAACGTGTGTGCAACTGTATTTGTTATTCGATTTGTCATTCTCGTTTGCTATAATACTGATTGGTTCTTGGGAACAATTGACCGTTTTGCTGTGTTTGATGCGGCCCTGTGGCCACCAGAGTTTCATCACATCATGCAGACCTTGTTTGGTTATATAACACGCATACCTTCATTGACGTACTTGTCCTCTTTAACCAGCCACTGTACTCTTCTGAAGACGTATTTTGAACCCAGATACTGTCCCTGAGTTTTGGCAGCACACTGTGTGTTAGCCATTACCTACAGTTCACGTGCTACATAACAAACCAACGTACACTTCTCAGGTTGACTGAGTGATACTCGTACAATTAGTATATATATACATGCGGCTACACATGTAACACTGACGTCACGTCACATAGTTCGTTTACAATGAATAGACGGTTTGCGGGTTTCAAGTGCGCGTTTCAGGTTCATGCATGGTGCACGCTGTCAACAGTTCATATTTACCCGAATTTACAGAATGAAAATAAAATCTTTACTTGCAAACACATCCAATAAATACTTACAATATATCACTTATTTACATTTTTCAGAGACAACCAATACCCGAAAAATCGAAACATTGGTGACGTCATTCACGAGCAGCAAAGCAAAGCCCCTTCGGACTGCGGCTATCAGTAGTTATCAAAACGAGGCAACCAATCACAGCAAGGTAAGACGTGACGCATTCGAATTACTGCACACGTTATTTAGCATATTACAATGCATTATGGAAAACAAAATCCGGTTGAATATAATGCAACAACAAACATCATATCACTATGGAAACGAAAAGTAATTGTATGCGAATAAGTGAATATATGATGAAAGAACCTTTTATCTCATGTCTCTAAAACAATTTATTAATATACTGTTACCATGGAAACTAATGTAAAGATAAAGATAGATTGATACATTTGTCATTTTCCACAATATATAATTCACTCTCATTTATCGCAATATTTTCTGGTGACCCTATTTAATTTCCAATTTGGTCTAAACCTCAATAAAACATATTTATGGTTTTTGTTATTTATTGTCTTTATAGCGAATATATGACGCATACATTTATTTCAGTGAAAATATTAAAGGCGACTTTAATCTGTCCGTAGCTATTAATTTTATAGAACTGTATCGTGTTTAAATATTATTTATATGACTGTTATGACGATTGTTCTAAATTTTTCTAATGTAACGAGATAAAAAAAAATCATACTAGGAATGGGTTCCACTATAGCTGCCATAAGCTACTAGATTTTTTTAATTTGGAAAAAAAACAAAACATAAAATTATTATTATTATTATACTGTATAACACCGTTATGAATGCAGTAGTCGAATCTGTAAGCGTCGGGGCTTAGTTATACTCAGCCACCTGTTGATTCAGTGTATTGCGCATAATATTTGCGCATACTAGAGGGCGCACAACCCCAGAATTCTATCATACCATATGATCATTCCTTGTTGTTATTTCCTCTTTGTTGTCTCACTCGATTGACTCGGAGTGCTTCAATTTGATGCAGATTGACAGGAGCATAATCGTTTTAATCGTTCTCTCGTTCGCATGGATCCGATTATGCATTCAACCCGGGAAGCGTTCGTTAAATATCGTTAGCTTAGCAGATATCCTCCCGTTGAGTGCTTCAAGTTACAAATCAGAGAGTTGTGAATTGTGAGTAAAGGTGGCGTCATGTCACTTACGGCTTTGAAAAAGTGCCGACAAACTTTGGTATTTCACAGTTTGGTGCTTAATTTAAAATCTATGCATTTGGCAATTCTCAATTGCGTACAAATAGGCGAGTAATTGAACTATAATGACACTGAAAATCGAGATTTGCCAAAGTGGGCTGTTAGATTTTTCTCCCCTCACGTAATTTGAAGATAAGAAGGTATACAATTCATGTTGATACATTCATGAGAATAAAAACGTGATAGATAAAGCATTTTCAGTTACAAGAGCTGACAATTGCGGGTAAATCAAGCTTGGTTTAAGATTTAAGTTGATCTCATATTTGCGCATATCTGATAGACTTCAATGCGTTCACGCACGGGAGAACACGGAACAGTAACCATGATGCTATACATGTTAGGTATACTGTTATAAAACAATACCTGAACAAATACAGAAGATTGCACTGAGCAATTCACACACACTCGTTAACTCGTGCTAAGGATCTAGACCGGGTCTTAAAACGGATCAGATTTAACCCGCGTTCGTGCACGTTTTCTTAGCACGGGCTAACGTTTTTTCTCTTAACCCGTGCCAATCTGATTAAAATAAGATCCTGGTTGGTTTAAGTTTTTTAATTTAATTTTAATATTTTTATTATTAGTTTTTATTATTATTATTATTAATATTAATTTTTATTATTTATATTCGTTTTAATATTTGCTTTCACAATAAATTTCCTGGTGGCTTTCATAAACAAACCAATTCTTACAACAAAATAATTGTAACGTCAAAAAATAATTGAAATAAATAATAATTATATATGAAAAAAAAAAATAAGCCAACCAGGATTTTATTTTAATCAGATTGAGTCCGTGCTAACGTGCTGTGTGCGAACGCAAATAATCAAAATCCTTAGGAAATGTTTGCTCCTATTACCAAACGGAACCAATCAGAATGAATGAGTAAATGACGCAAAAGAAAATGAATTTGATTCAGCTCTAGTGCTAATGTGAAGCTAGTAACAAGATTGTACCTGATTGGCTGCCCAATCCTAACACATACCAAGTCAAACCAATCAAAGAGTCGCTTTTATATTGACAGGTTCTTTCGACGTATCAAATTCCGCGTAGTATACGTGCTTTGACTCAGTGCTACCCACTCACTCGCATTTAGAACCATATATTCAGTCTTCACTAGAACTACTTCATTCCTAATTAGAACATGTTACAGTAAACACAATTATGGCATTGAATTGATTCATGTATGTAGTGTATAAGCTCCCCTGTCGTGTAGAACTCATAGTAAACATGATTTATGTATCTTCATGTGATTCTTCCACATGAGTACTTCAGTGTTCGACACTATTTCCGATCAATATGATACAATACACTTTTTCTATAAGTAGCACAGGCAGTTACGTCATAAAAAGAAAGCTTTGGCCCCCTCAACAAACTGGTCTTGGCGATTTCGCCCTGGTATCTAATTATAAACATCTCTGGTCACTACTGAGACCAGTTAACCCTGAATCCATGTCTACCCAAGATTGCTAAGGAATATTTCTCATGTTCACTTAAGACCTTGGTATATGACGGCGTCGAATTTGATGACTTTCAGACTGAAATGAGATAATTTGTTTTGAATTTAAAAACACTGTATAGTCTAAAATAGCATTAAACTAATTTAACGAAATAGCAAAATGATATTACGCTAAAGATTTGTTTACCTTAAAATCGCACTAATACTGAATTACAGTATACAGAATATTGAAAAAATCTACATCCCTTGAGTGTTGAATGTTAGTTATAACACTTGTAACACCGCTGCGCTGGGTGAGTTCTGCTAAGAACCCTTGCAATGGCTCGTATTGTTAGATACTGGTTAACAATCCTGGAACGTATATTGGTTGTTTTTATAACTATATAAATTTGAAATGACTGAAAATTATTACAGGTGCTGGGCATGTAATGTGAAATATAATTGTTAGTTTGGATATTGGTATGGTCTGGAATGTGCAAGGGACAGCAATGTAAATATTTATGTGCCCAAAATGAATGGTCGATATGATTGCATTCGTTTTCCAAGCTGGACACATATCGACTAACATTAATCTTGTAAAAAAGATTTTATTTGAAGAAGCCTATGTAGATTCTGTGTTTTTAGTCATAGAAACATTGAGAAGAGTAGGGCAGACGATATTCTCTGGGAAATGAGATTTTGCGTTTTATGCGTTTTACAGAAAGTTTATATATTTTTTGTTTCGAAAGTCATACAATGTATTACTATTAAAAATACCAACCATTTAAATCACTCTTAAATCCCCAGTTTCCTTTCAAGTATATTCAGTAGTATTTCTAATTGATGGCATGATACTTCTTTTGGTTTTGTGCACTTTTTGTTGTTATATGTGATAGAGTATTGGAATAGTCATAGATAATGCCTGCCATAGCGTGGACAACACCGGTTGCTAAAGACACGTAGTAGATTGAGTTTATTTACTAGTGTAACTATTTGGACACAAACAAAATGACAGTCCGACATTAATATCTGTATTTTATATATATGAAATTCGGAAAGGGGCTTCACGTGGTCGCGTGGACTAACCAAGACACTAGTTTACCACGCGACAATTCTGGCCACGTCATCAAGTTAACGAAAGTGTCTATGATTGGTTCAATGTTGAGAATATGATTAGTCATTATCATGTGATTGGCTAGTGAAACTTTAGAGGGTGATTATTTTTTTGTCAGATATTTCCAATTTTATTACATGTATATGCTTTTGCTGAGTGGTTGAAATAAAGGACGTGTTAGGGACTTCGGCTCCTAGCTCTGCTACGCCTAGAGCAGACATTGAACTAATCCTACTTGTGTCTGGTTACGACCATTCCTTAAATCATATATACGTAATTATACAAAAAATAAATAGACAATACACTATCTCATATACTAAAAACTTTCTCTATAATTATAAAATTCACCAAATACCATCACATGCAGAAAATTCCCACGAATTCAAGAAGCAAAACCTTTCATAAACACTTAAAAATACCAATGCAGCCATATTTTTTTGAAAATGGCCGCCAATCTTAAACATTAAATTGATGAAATTGATTTAAAATATGTTAGCATAGCTTGGGGCTTGATATTGTAACAGTTATGGCTTGTACCATTTTTATAAATAGCATTTAGAGAGATTCAGTTTATCCGTGTATTCAAATTTGTGGTCATAGTCCGCCATCTTGGAAAAAGACCGCCATTTTAATTTATTTTGTGGCTATTGTGCTTTTTTATTAAAAATATAGTTAAACTCCAATCATGCCAACTTTGGTGCTTGTATCATTAACTGAAACAATGTTTTCACTATCCTGTCGCGCTATTAATGGAGCGAATGAGTTTTATCCCTACGGAATACTCCCGTGGGTGGAAACAATGGATTATCCGTTCCCAAGTGACCTACTGTCACACAACGGCCTACAATACTAGTTTGTGATAAAACATGATCAATAAAAAAAAAACATTGCGAAAATTGGTACATTCTTAATGAATATCGACTACAAAATTTAACATAATTTGTCTGATTTAGACGACATTTTTCCACGATCAAAGAACAGGCCTAGGGGGTGCGACCTATTGGAATGAATATATTCTATGATTAAAATCCTCTATCACGATATGGTCCACGTATTACCTCCAGGATTCAGTAAACATCAGCGTTACTATAGTCTCATATACTTCTCTCAAATCGCACTAATTCAGACAATCAATCATTTTCACATAATAAACTGTAAAACTTTAGGAATTATTCAAGACGGCAACGTTTAAGTAGCTGTACTGC